GTGATGTCTTATTTTGTCGTCTTTACCTCATAGGAAAGTTCGAAGGCAAATTACGAAGTCATATAATGAGCCATCTTAGCTTGTCGTGTGTACCTCATAATAAAGTTCGGAAGCAAACTAAGAGCCATGAAATAGATTGTAGTTTATCTACTTGCTCGATAGTAAATTAACTATTCGGATAGCAGAACAATCTTAGGCATTTGGCTAACATGCTGAAATTAAATTGGGAGGAGTACACAACGAAAACAAATATACAGTCATCTTTGGGAACTTGGCTTTATGAACCCACTGGATAGTAGATCTTGTGTTGCTTTAACATTTGAACGTGCTCATAGCCTACCTGGTTTTATATGTCATACTAGAGTCCATAGAAATTCCAAGGTGAATGCCGAAACTCACCCTGAGATACGAGATCTGTATATCAATTGCATTAGACCGGAACACATTACTGTTTTGGCAACAGAATTAGACCTGTGGACTTGCAATACGGCCTGGCCTATAAGTAAGAATTTTTTTATATTTTCCTTTCGTAGTAGAGGGAGACTTCCTACCTAATCTACTTTTGCTTAGGGATTGTGTTTGCACAACATACCTGCCTGTTTATTCTCCGAAGCTACCACGGATCTTGCCGGGTCCAACTAATACCTGGTGGGCTGTACGTTCGCATGAGAATAATAAGACAGGAAAAGCAAAAGTAAGTAATATAAATCATTAATCATCTATGAGTATAAGCCGGCAAGGATGTATTGTAGCTTTGGCCACAAATCCATTTCACATTTCTCAACTTTTGTTTTATGTAGTATTTAGTTTTTATTTAGCAGTTTTAAACTATTTTGATAATTGCAATACATTTTTTTGTAATTAAATAATTTCATTGTTTCCTAAATATAATTTATTTTCATGTCGAAGTATACAATTTTATCGTACATTTAAAATGAAATAATTAAATAAATACGTTTATCTATTGGAGGTACAGGGCGAAATAAAAATAGACAGTATATTTACATTATTTTATTGAACGAAAACCTAAAACTAAGATTAATCTATCAGTTCGTTAATTTTTTATTGTTTTAATTAAATTTCAATGAATATTCTAGACAACGGCTCTTTAAATGGTAAATAGGTAAATAATTGTCTTCTTTGTAAAAAATAAAAAATTATAATTATTGTTGTAACATTAAAAGAAATTGTGTTTTTACATAATAATATGAAAATCACAGAGATAGCTTTTATTTGAGTCCCTAAATTAAAGTGGCTTACACTACGGTTAATTGAGCATCACATTTTAGTATCGAGTTAAAAATCTAAGATTATTTACAATAATCTAAATGAAAATGTTTTTAGGAGATATCGTGGTAACTATAATATATTAAAAATTAAACAATATTTCATAAGATTTATATGAACCTGTTTATAATTGAATAGAATTTAGTAAATTTCCGTATAAATGTAATGTTCAGTGGTAGCTATCATAGGACAGGAGGTAAATGACAAAAATTTGAATCGCGCTAACGACATTTGCAAAATAAGTGCACAATTGTGGGTCGCGTTTCCAATCCGATGGTAGATTCTGCGCAGCACTGCTCTTGCTAGAGCCAGTGTCAGCAACGCTCCCGGCTTGCGGCCCGTGAGCTCACCTACACGTTGGGGCAAAGCTGAAATAGCCTTTCAAGGCTATCAGCATAGGTAGGAAAAAAAGTGCACATATGTAAAAATCGCGAACACCAATATTCAGACCATCAGTCCACTGAGCCTGATATATTCGCTCGGTTGAAGATGTTCGACTGGTCGTTACCTCGAAAAAATAACAATTTGGAAGTAAAAGAATTACTATGGATAAGCCAGAGCCACTATCACGTAATTACGGATCTTTCAAGCCTCCGTTTTAAAGAAAGATGTCATAACGCTTATAAGACATCGTGGAGGAGAGCGCACTCCAAGATTGGATGAGTACGTGAGAGCAATGGTCTCTGGGAATTCACTGTACATCAAGGCAGTGGTTCCAGGTGATCTGGATAAACTGTGCTCCAGAGGGCGGCGTAATGGTCTAACGAGATGACGGGATTATATCAAATTATTCCATAGAGAACTTATCGTCTAACGTACTGTAAAATACACAGATGAGTATCCCTGCTTAAACCAAGAGGTTCCAAACGTCTAAGAGGTCTTCAAGATCAAAATTATTGAGAATCTAAACGCCCCTTTCCAGTATGGAGTCAAATGGAAATATCTGATATTTGGGAGCCCCCATTCTGACTTGCAAGCGGTATTTGGTGCGGGGCCGCATCTGTCGTTGTAAAGCAAAAGTCATTTATCCAGGCGTCAGATACCGCTTCGAGGGCTGTATTGAGGGTTCATGATAATTATATTTAATTTTTTTTCAAATCACTCGAAATGTTTATTCCAAGAATGCTCCTCCTCCGTCCAATGAAGTTTGTCGGAAATCATCATCATCAGCCTATAGACGTTCATTGTTGGATATAAGTTAGCCCTCAAAGTTCTCCGTGATGATTTTGAAATCCCCTTCTCCAGGCAGCTAGTACATTTTGCAGAGGACATTTTGTAATTAAGGCGCCATGTCACATTTTTTGCAATGGTTCATAATTCTTCAATAAATTGAATTAAACTGAATTCAATTCACTACATCATTGCATGATGTTCTCGAAAATATACATAACTTTGATTTATTGACTTGGACGCAATGTATCACAAAGTTATAGAGCAGTGAACGCACGTATTTGAATTTAAAAAACATCAAACGTTAATTCTTCATAGCAAAGGAATGCTGATTTGTGGGTATTATGTTTTTTTTTGGTATCAAAATTGGTATCATTGCACAATGCATTGGCCACAAAAAATTGATTGTATCGCAATAAAAAGACCCGCCTTGAGATATGGGTTCTAAGGTCTCAGTATAGTTACGACAGCTGCCTATCAAACCGAAACGCATCACTGCTTCACGGAAGAAATAGGCAGGGTGGTGGTACCTACCCATGCGGACTCACGAGAGGTCCTACCACCAGTAATTACTTAACAAGAAAATTCACGCTACTTGTCCGTAAGCTTAAGACAGATTCGTTTGAAGAACTGAAAGAAAGTAAACAGTAGTGAATGCGTCGAGTTTAACATCATAACGTTAAAAAACGTCTCATTAAATTTTTAAACCCTCAGACACAGCCCACTGAGTTTCTCGCCGAATTTTCTGAGTGGGTCGCGTTTCCGATCCGGTGGTAGATTCTGCGAAGCACGGCTCTTGCTAGGGTTCGTGTTAGCAACGTCGTCAGGTTTGAGCCCCGTGATATAGTCGCTGATATAGCCTCTTAAGGCTATCAACTTAGGCAGGAAAAAAAAATTTTAGTTCGATGGAAATTCAGTGACGTGTAGTGTGTACTATCTGTGTGTAGACTTATAGGCCTGAAGTGCCACAGTACTCTCCGATGCGATCCGATATGCACTCGAATATATCGAAGGACACGTCACAGTTGCGGCCGTTATCTGGAAATTATTAAAATACTAAATAAATAATAAAGTATCTGCTACGTGCTGTTTGTTGGGTAGGAAACCATGTTACAGTGAAGTAACAAAACGTATTTATTTATTTATTACTAGCTGTTTTTTTTTTATTGCTTAGATGGGTAGACGAGCTCACAGCCCACCTGGTGTTAAGTGGTTACTTGAGCCCATAGACGTCTACANATAGCAAAGGAATGCTGATTTGTGGGTATTATGTTTTTTTTTGGTATCAAAATTGGTATCATTGCACAATGCATTGGCCACAAAAAATTGATTGTATCGCAATAAAAAGACCCGCCTTGAGATATGGGTTCTAAGGTCTCAGTATAGTTACGACAGCTGCCTATCAAACCGAAACGCATCACTGCTTCACGGAAGAAATAGGCAGGGTGGTGGTACCTACCCATGCGGACTCACGAGAGGTCCTACCACCAGTAATTACTTAACAAGAAAATTCACGCTACTTGTCCGTAAGCTTAAGACAGATTCGTTTGAAGAACTGAAAGAAAGTAAACAGTAGTGAATGCGTCGAGTTTAACATCATAACGTTAAAAAACGTCTCATTAAATTTTTAAACCCTCAGACACAGCCCACTGAGTTTCTCGCCGAATTTTCTGAGTGGGTCGCGTTTCCGATCCGGTGGTAGATTCTGCGAAGCACGGCTCTTGCTAGGGTTCGTGTTAGCAACGTCGTCAGGTTTGAGCCCCGTGATATAGTCGCTGATATAGCCTCTTAAGGCTATCAACTTAGGCAGGAAAAAAAAATTTTAGTTCGATGGAAATTCAGTGACGTGTAGTGTGTACTATCTGTGTGTAGACTTATAGGCCTGAAGTGCCACAGTACTCTCCGATGCGATCCGATATGCACTCGAATATATCGAAGGACACGTCACAGTTGCGGCCGTTATCTGGAAATTATTAAAATACTAAATAAATAATAAAGTATCTGCTACGTGCTGTTTGTTGGGTAGGAAACCATGTTACAGTGAAGTAACAAAACGTATTTATTTATTTATTACTAGCTGTTTTTTTTTTATTGCTTAGATGGGTAGACGAGCTCACAGCCCACCTGGTGTTAAGTGGTTACTTGAGCCCATAGACGTCTACAACGTAGATGCGCCACCCACCTTGAGATATAAGTTCTAAAGTCTCAGTATAGTTACAACGGCTGCCCCACCCTTCAAACCGAAACGCATTACTGCTTCACGGCAGAAATAGGCANCCAGTAATTACTTAACAAGAAAATTCACGCTACTTGTCCGTAAGCTTAAGACAGATTCGTTTGAAGAACTGAAAGAAAGTAAACAGTAGTGAATGCGTCGAGTTTAACATCATAACGTTAAAAAACGTCTCATTAAATTTTTAAACCCTCAGACACAGCCCACTGAGTTTCTCGCCGAATTTTCTGAGTGGGTCGCGTTTCCGATCCGGTGGTAGATTCTGCGAAGCACGGCTCTTGCTAGGGTTCGTGTTAGCAACGTCGTCAGGTTTGAGCCCCGTGATATAGTCGCTGATATAGCCTCTTAAGGCTATCAACTTAGGCAGGAAAAAAAAATTTTAGTTCGATGGAAATTCAGTGACGTGTAGTGTGTACTATCTGTGTGTAGACTTATAGGCCTGAAGTGCCACAGTACTCTCCGATGCGATCCGATATGCACTCGAATATATCGAAGGACACGTCACAGTTGCGGCCGTTATCTGGAAATTATTAAAATACTAAATAAATAATAAAGTATCTGCTACGTGCTGTTTGTTGGGTAGGAAACCATGTTACAGTGAAGTAACAAAACGTATTTATTTATTTATTACTAGCTGTTTTTTTTTTATTGCTTAGATGGGTAGACGAGCTCACAGCCCACCTGGTGTTAAGTGGTTACTTGAGCCCATAGACGTCTACAACGTAGATGCGCCACCCACCTTGAGATATAAGTTCTAAAGTCTCAGTATAGTTACAACGGCTGCCCCACCCTTCAAACCGAAACGCATTACTGCTTCACGGCAGAAATAGGGAGGGCGGTGGTACCTACCCGCGCAGACTCACAAGTGGTCCTACCACCAGTAATCTGTGTGGTTCCCACCAAATCCTAGTGGGTGTTTGTACAGCAGCGCTCACTGCGTATTATGCCAGCTTACTATCATTGTTGGCACTTACTGTTGGCACCTCTGTAGCGAATGTAAAGGCAATATATATAATAAATAGGTTATACAATTGAGACCTAGATCGTGCGTCACGTAGAATCTCGTGCGTCAAGACGAGTGACCGCATTCACGGTGCGATGTCGATGAGATCCTGAACGCTTTACCCCGGGTGAGTCGTGATCTTGCTCACAAATCTATGGATTACTACTGTGGGGGGAGGGGGTTTTGTATAGTAGGATATTTATCATCTTCGGACCCGCCTTTGCCATTTTCGTCCCCGACTTTACCATTTTCATTCATAATTTCATTCATACCATTCGCACATATTTCGTGCGCCCCCTTAGACGCGGGTATTGCGATAGATATTCGGCCCGCGGTCCAAGAAAAGTAATTCCGTGATCCCGCTAGTACTGGTCATAGCTTCCTGAAGATTTTTGTGGACAGCGATAATCACAGAAAGACCCAGCTACACTTATAAAATGTACGTTATTCTGATACAGACTTTTTGTTTTTATACTTATTCACCAGTAGCTTAACGGCCATCCCAGATACGCCCGAGAGGGTAGGTGAGCTCACGAGCTAAACTTGAGCTCAGAGAATTTGCTAATACTAGCCCTAGCATGAACAGCGTTTTGCAGAATCTACCATCGGATTGGATCCGCGACCCACTGAGACCATTCGATGAGAAACTCAATGAGCTAACAGATATAGGCAGAATTAGCTCACAAGGTCAGACAATTGTTATTTAAATCAGATTGCATAGCGGTAGTGTTACCCATAGGCGTGGTCCTGGAGAACTTATCGTGGTTCTTCATCAGGCATTCTCTGGAGGCTTCTAGAACCGCCATGAAGTAGCCGCGCTCGTTGACTCCGTCCGAATACAATCCGACGAGACCTTCGAGGGTCGGAAAACCGAAACCGTCGACCTGGAATCGAGAAATTAAAATATGTTTAGTATTTTTTTTTTTCGGGTGTAAATCCGTAATTAAAACAACTTCTACGGCTTATTATTATTATTATTAATAGTATAGATTGATAATTATCGCTCAAAATAATCACCATCATAACAAACACGATAGTCTGACACTGAAATAACGAATTTAAGGAAAAAACAATATAACTAATTAGCATGTGATATATTTAGCACCCGCGAATTAATTTTTAAATTCCGATGCTTCAATAATATTTATATCGGTAGGTATTATATATTGAGGTGTCGTATCAGGCACGTAGATAGATAGCTGTAAAATAAATTTACAACACAAAAAGGAAGGCGGCGGCTGTAATCGCCTGCCCTTTACCCAGGCCTATTAAATTCAAAATTGCTCCTTAACAATACATTTCGTTATAAAACTTAAAATTACAGTGGAACCTTGAATATTTTACGACTTTAGCATTCATGATTCACTCGGGTCGCAACGAAAGCCACGGAAACAACACGGTACTGTTTCGTACATTGTAAAAACATTTAGTCTTTTATTTTATCACTTACTAGCTAACCCGGCAGACTTCGTAGTGCCTCAATCGATAAATAAAAGATCTATACTTTTGTATAAAATAAGCTTAAAACAAACAAAAAGAATCCGTCCGACGGGGGACACATCAAAGGAAAAACAAAATTGTTATTTTTATTTAATTCCGAGCATTTTCATATTTATCAACCGTTTAAACCTTTTCTGGACTTCCACAAATCATTCAAGACCAAAATTAGCAAAATCGGCCAAGCCGTTCTAGAGTTTTAGTGAGACTAACGAACAGCAATTCATTTTTATATATACAAATATAGATATAGATAGATAGGGAATAACAATAGTTATCATTATAAATTGATGCGTCTATGGCGGTGTTCAAATCTAGCAAACACCAGTCTTCATAAGGAAATAATTGGTAACACTAGCTCACGTGTGAAATCGACGGTGAAGACATAACGTCATGTCATAAAATAAAATCTTTGAAAATATAAAATCTATTAAACATAATTATTTAACCGTGGTTCATCGTGGAGTTTACAGTATGTCTGTGAGTTAGTAAGCTCGCACAGGTAGGCGGCACCATCCGGCCTGTGTCTGCCGCACAGCAGTTCCGATTTGAAAAGTCTCCGACCTCAGGTCTCAAGACGGTAGGTTGCTTTCAGTTTTAATGTCTATGGGCTCCGGGAACCACACTATACCTGTCAGGCTATAAATTGGTTCACTCATCAATGCAACTAAAAATGTATAATTTGACAATTTTATCAATGTGCCAAAGCACGCCAGATCCATTATGAACTATACCGGTCCACCGTCCTCGTCGAACCGAAGGGCTCGACAAGCGAATTAACCCACAGACACAGCCCACTGAGTTTCTCGCCAGATCTTCTCAGTGGGTCGCGTTTCCGATCCGGTGGTAGATTCTGCAAAGCACTGGTCTTGCTAGGGCCAGTGTTAGCCCCACTCCGGTTTGAGCCCCGTGAGCTCACCTACACGCTAGGGTGAAGCTGATATAGCCTCTCAAGGCTATCAGCAGAGGTAGGAAAAAGAAAAAAAAAAATTTAAATTACACTATATGATCTTCGTAGAAATAAACAATAAATTGCATTTGTGTTCGAAATTTTAACGACCGATCTTTTCCCGACCGAACAGCGATATTTCATTATCAAATTCATTGAACAATAAACATCAACGTATAAATTAATATTTTCTCATTCGTTTTTATTTATTGCGCGCTTGACCTCCACAGCGGCAGTTCGAATTGCAGATCGATTAAGCATTCTCATGTTCAATCAAATTGAGCACTGTCGTGTGCACTTGTGTCATGATATTTGTTTCAATAATCCGTTCTTAGACTCGAAATGATAATAAAATTCAGCTTTATTTATTGATCAGTAGGCGAGCACATATTTGACCTGATGTTAAATGGTTACTAGCGCTTGAACAGTAGTAGTCTTTTACTAGTAAGGACGTAGGTATTGCTTTGCTAGATTAAGTATTGCCTACAGACCTTGTCTTCGAAAATAAGGAGACAAGCTTTTGTTTCTTATTTATTGTTACACTAGGTGACCCGGCAGATTTTGTAGTACCTCAATCGATAAATAAAAGACATAAACTTTTGTATAAAATAAAATTAAAACAAACAAAAGGAATCCGTCCGACGGGGGACACATCAAAGGGAAAACAAAATTGTTATTTTTATTTAATTCCGAGCATTTTCATATTTATCTACCGTTTAAGCCTGCTCTGGACTTCCACAAATAATTCAAGACCAAAATTAGCCAAATCCGTCCAGCCGTTCTCGAGTTTTAGCGAGACTAACGAACAGCATTTCATTTTTATATATATAGATTAAGAGATTATACTAAATTAACCGAATGTGTAGACGAATTCACAGGGCTTAGCCTGAAAGACTTTCTTCCCATCTGCCCTAGCAAGAGCAGTGCTTCGCTGTGTCTATTGCAGGATGGGAATCGCAAGCCACTTAGAAGATCCGACGAGAAACTCAGTGAGCTGTGTCCGTGGGCTAAGTTGCACGACGACCACTTCGTCGCATCCACGGGTGCTTGGAATGCCTAAAAGCACCGATATTGTATCGGGAGGAACCGAAATGATGTGTGCGTTTTAGGTTAGTTGTCGAAATAAAGACTTATACTTACTGCCTTCACTTTCCTGTACACGCACTGCAGTAGACACTGAAAAACGACGGAGAAATTTAAGCAAATTGTTCATTTCAAAATAACGGCCGTCTACACCAGTGGTAAGTGACATGGTCACTACACAAGGGGTCGCGGGTTCGAATCCCGCCAAGGGAAGATATTTGAATGATAAATATAAACTGTCTTTTCCAGAGTTATGGATGTATATTAAATATATGTATGTGTATAATAAAAATCTTACATTTATTTCCGTTATCTGGTACCTGTAATACAAGTTCTTTACGAACTTAGCACGGGACCAGTTTATTTATATTTATTTAATTAAAAAAATAGGTATATTTAAGAAAAAAGCTATAGAACGAGTTATGCTCGGCGTTTCTCTGTGAGATCGTATCCGAAACGAAGTAATTCCCAAGAAAACCAAAGTTACCGATATAGCTCAACGCGTAAGCAAGCTGAAGTTAAAAAGAGATTAGGAACTTTTTACTGGTGGTAGGACCTCTTGTGAGTCCGCACAGGTAGGTACCACCGCACTGCCTATTTCTGCCGTGAAGCAGTAATGCGTTTCGGTTTGAAGGGTGGGGCAGCCGTTGTAATTATACTGAGACATTAGAGCTTATATCTCAAGGTGGGTGGTGCATTTACGTTGTAGATGTCTATGGCCTCCAGTAGTCACTTAACACCAGGTGGACTGTGAGCTCGTCCACCCATCTAAGCAATAAAAAAACAGAACTCACCCCAGCAATGCGTTTCTCATCGTGTGTAAAGGGTACTTCTCTCTTGTTACGCTTCCGTTCAGCCGGCATGGTATGTTCTTCTTTGATGACGTCTAGGGCTTCTGTAAGCGATAATACGACAATACAAATTATCATTTTAGCATTTTTCTGCAGGGACGTTGAAGTTCCGTTACATACTTTCTAACGATTCTAAAAATAATTGCTTGTTTTGCTGATGAAATCTATACATATAAATAAAATTTGGAGTGTCTGTTTGTAATATTGAAATAACCGCTTTTTACTACATGCATATGAATATATATACGGTACATACACCAAAATAATATTTTTTACAATATTTGTCTGTCTGTCTGTTTGTTCCGGCTAATCTCTGGAACGGCTGGACCAATTTTGACGAGAATTTCACTGATAGGTAGCTGATGATATAAGAAGTAACTTAGGCTACTTTTTTAAGACTAGCTTCGCCCCGCGGCGTCACCCGCTATCAATAATAAAATTTAATGTTTCCGAAGCGAAGCGAGGGCGGGTCGCTAGACTAACATAAAAATGTATGTGTGTGCAACGCTTATCGTCGCTTTAACAACTAGGGGTTTTTCACATATCCAGGACTGTGAAGCGGCTAGATATGACTTAAAATTCATGTAATAATAAAACTGTTTACGCTCTCAATATAGGATTAAGTATAAATTTGAATTATTTTAAATCATTATTATTCCGAGCTAGCTTATCTAGAGTTTAGTAACAAATAGGGCATAGGAAACGTGAATACAGATGTATTTTTGATCTCAAATCAATGCGTATACACACCACATCGGATCTATGTTTGCCTCGACTATTTTAAATTTCTTAGTATCTGACGCCAACTCTCCTTGAAAATGGTTCGTCTTGCATTGACAATCGCGAATCGCGTTCTTGGTAATCACGGACACTGTTAAGCACGCTACTCTGTCATGAGTGACACGATTGAGAAGAAGAAGAACTTGAAAGAGACCGTGAAAGCTCAATGGAATAGCAATTTGAGTTCTACTGGTGCCTCGAGGACCACATAGTTCCACGTAATGAAATAAGATGCTGTGACTTTTATTTAAATAAGGCCTGAATAATTCGATTCACACTTACATTGGGGTTTTTATTTTTTACTTTCCTCCTAAGTGGCTGATTTTAGAGCTTAAAGCTTGTACGGGAAGTTCTTCACTTTTTTAAGGAAAAGGTATGAAATTAAATATTCAAGATTTTATATAAATTTTAGTATAAATTTTATAATGTCCTGATTTACTCGCGCGAAGCCGTGTGGGTTGGTAGTCATAAAAAACTATACTTTTTTTTTTTTTTTCTTCGAAACACTGAACTTACTTTTATTTACGGACTGTCTATATTTTTCTTGCTTAAGCCATAACGCAATTTTGTGAAGAGCACGAAAAATACGTATCACGATATAATTGCTCTAATTACACACGTTACGATATCTTTAATTAAAGTATGTGCTTCGGGTAAAGGAACCAATGTCGCAAGCTTCCTTTGGCTGTTTCGAAATCGATACGAAACTACGAGTTGTAAGTAAGATTATCATTTCTAGAACATCTGTAGTACGTCTAGAAGGAGAACCAGTTATTTCAGTAACGCGCCAGTTTTTTGGGTCAATCGATAAATTCTTATCGATATTTTAGACGGGTCGTTGACTGCTGTGGTTTTTAAGATTTGGTATACTTATACATATATAACGGAGGACTTTGATTTAATTGCGAAAATGTCGATTTGATGTATTGTAGAACGTATAACCGTCATTTTGATTTATTACGAACAGTGACTGTACGAATATACAGTTATCTGAATATAGTAAAGTTGAAAAAATAGTAGCAGGTAGTGATTTGATAATAGTTAATATTGGTCTAATGATAGTGACTGATTATTAGAAATTTATTTATTTATTGCTTAGATGGGTGGGCAAGCTCACAGCCCACCTGGTGTTAAGTAATTACTGGAGCCCACAGAAATCTACAACGTAAATGCGCCAACCACCTTGAGATATAAGTTCTAAGATCTCAAATATAGTTACAACGGCTGCCCCACCCTTCAAACCGAAAGGCATTATTGCTTCACGGCAGAAATAGGCAGGGTGGTGGTGCGAACTCACAAAAGTTCCTACCACCAGAAATAAGTCCTTCTGTTCTTCTGTTAAGTTCTTCTGTTAAGTATATATAGGTATTTCATTACAAAAGTTTCCTGCCTACTGCGCGATACGAGTACACATCTTATGTAAATAATTAATCATTTACATTCCCGTGGTTGTCAACTGTTTTCCTTTTTTTTTTTCAGTAACTATTGACCAACTGTTTCTGAACCAATTTTATTTTGTTCTTTTTTTAATAGCTACGCAATAGCTTATTACTGTTTTGAATGAAAAAAGTATATTTATTTTTATTATTTCAACAGCCTTGTTAGATAGTAAATGTAATATCTATAGATACTAATATATAAATCTACAGTGGTTTTTACGGATGTTCCGTTATAACTACTGAACCATGCATCCGATTGACTTGAAACTTGGTATCCATGTAGAAAATACATGTACTTAATGGATAGGCTAATAATTATATCAGTGTTGGACTCCATAATAATAATGACAATAAATAATAATGTTAATTTTAAATGCCCAGCGAAGCGGGCGAGTACGGCTAGTATAAACGTAAATCTCAGATTGTCACTGTTTATTGTAGAATTTCGATTATCGAACGAGCCGAATCGAACGATTATCGATTAAATTTTAAGCCTTTTTTTAATGTTTTTTTTATTGCTTAGATGTGTGAACGAGCTCACAGCCCACCTGGTGTTAAGTGGTTACTGGAGCCCATAGACATCTACAACGTAAAACACACCTTGAGATATAGTTCTAAGGTCTCAGTATAGTCACAACGGCTGCCTCTCATCGTTATGTAAGTAAATATATATTTCAAACACTAGGGCTCAATCAGAGATGATTAATGAAGTGGCGCGCGATGATTTCGTAAAACCGCAACGCTTGTTACAGAAGAATGCACATCGCATGTCCCGATGTTGCAGGTTAGGCGTTGGGTAAGACTTACGCAATTTGTATATGGATTGGAACGATAAGTTTTGCTTGAGAAAATGCGTTGTAAGTCGTGATAATTCAAATTGAGTTTAGGAGAAGAGGAATCGGACGATTCAGTTCTTGTTTATCTATTTTTTTATTTTGACAGCGTACCTGTTGATAGTGGTTTATAGCTCTGTTTTTGTGCTTAACGATTGCGAGTGTATTTGATGATAAATGTTACCTAAAACTACTGTGTCACTAATACAGATTCAATACTTTTGAAATGAGTGCATGATAAAAGTGGTCGATAAATATAATCGAAATAAGATTATATTTTATTAAACGAAAAACTTCTTTACATAATCGTAACGAGTCTGGATGAAATAAAGGATCTCAAGGATCTCAAGGGTCGATGAGTATGCCTTTTTTTATTGCTTAGGTGGGTGGACGAGCTCACAGCCCACCTGGTGTTAAGTGGTTACTGGAGCCCATAGACATCGACAACGTAAATGTGCCACCCACCTTGAGATATAAGTTCTAAGGTCTCACGTATAGTTACAAAGGCTGCCCCATCCTTCAAACCGAAACGCATTACTGCTTCACGGCAGAAATAAGCCTATTATAGTTATTAATATTATTAACCCTAAACAAGTTAAACAAGTCTGAACCTATATAAATATGTTTCTAATTCACATGGCACAGGAAATTGTAGCTTGGGGTAAATGACCGAATGTGATGCTCCAGATTATTTATTTATTATAAATTGTAAATTATTATCGCGAATACTATTAAAACATCCTTACTATAAGGAAATAAGCTAATTTATCATATATGTATGTACTATCAAGTTTATTTTTGGTATGACGTTTGGAACGGCCGAAATAAATGGTTTCTGGGTCAAAAAAAAAAAAAACCACTATCATCATCAAAATTAGATGGTCTTTTCGGAACTGTTATTACACCATTTAGCGAAAACATTACACAAGCTAATTGCGCCGACTATTAGTGCGAAAGAATCTCGTTAAAGCCGCCGAAATTGTGAACGGTCTTTCCAGCTATGTTCGTAGGTAGGTACCGAAATCGCGTGGCAAATACATTTTTGACCTCAACCGGATTCAATTGAAAGGTTGAGAATGCGTGTCTTTATGATTGTACCGCTGTAGTTAAATACTTAACTTGAGTGGTTTTTGGCTTTTCGATTAATTATCATTAAAATTTGAACTATGATCGAATAGAGACGGTTGCATTTTTGTTAAAAAAACAACAAATTCAACACCATCAAGTCAAAATTATGTTTTATTTTTCTAAATTGTCTATTAATCATGTTAGCAGAATATTGTTTAGCAAATATCAGCATTGTGTAGCTATGCTAACGAATTGTAAGACATAATAGTTAGTTGTAATGAGCTAAGATTCTTGTAGATTATATTATAATTATTTTGTGCAAAGAGATGGAAGTCTTTATTTTGTGAAGGAAGGATTACTGGTGTCCCGGAAGCCTTTTTAGTTTCACCAGGACAGGTGGGCGAGCACGGGCACCTACCTCGCGAATGAAGATTTATTTTTTATTGTTTAGATGGGTGGACAAGCTCACAGCCCACCTGGTGTTAAGTGGTTACGGGAGCCCATAGACATCTACAACGCAAATGTGCCACCCACCTTGAGATATAAGTTCTAAGGTCTCAAGTATAGTTACAACGGCTGTCCCACCCTTCAAACCGAAACGCATTACTATTTCACGGCAGAAATAGGCAGGGTGGTGGTACCTACCCGCGCGGACTCACAAGAGGTCCCACCGCCAGTAAAGATGGATATATATCATTTTAATCAGGTCAGGTATTTTAAAATATCAAATCTAGCTTACTGTAGGAGTCACTTACAAACTTCTTAACATGATGCCATACAATAAGACTATTCTCGACGTTCAGCGAATGTAATGACTCAGAATGATCTCAGCCGGTACAGTTTGATTACAACCTTCCATATTCGTAGCCCACGCATTACACAAAATGTCGCGTTGTATCGAAAAACGTTTAATGAGAGACCAAA